CTATCCCACCAAGTGGAAATCTCCTAGGTCACTCAGGTGTTCTCAGGGGACCTCCTTGTCTAGTGTTGCCCGTAGAAAGGCCTTTGTTTAGCATGCATCTCTCCTCAGGTTTGGTTCCAGGAAGAGGAAATATGATCAGCAAGGGAACCTCGGGGAGGAGTTGGGTAAGATGGGGTGAGGCGGAACAGCAGGTGGCCTTAGATATGTTAGCCTTTGGAGATGCTTTCTCCCTGACCCGGAATGAATTGTCTCACAATGACGTAGAAGGGGGAGCTCACAGGGGATGAAAAAATTTTGGCTCAAGACAACTCCAGTCACAAACTCTAACTTTGAAATGAGCTTGGTCCAGCCTCCTTTGCGTCTGAGCTCATGTTTCCAGCCCGCATATTATTTTTGCCAGCACAGAAGGAACACCCTTTGCCTTTACAGGTCAGGGATCTCAGAAGGAGCAGAAGCAGCTGGAACAGGCAAAACAGACGTCGGGAGTGTCTCTCGGTGGGCTTGAACAGAAAGTGCAGGGGGGAGCACGGGGTCCCCCAGGCTTTGCTGGTTTGTTTTGCAGCCCTTGGCAATCCCATTCTCAGCTGGCCAGGTACGATTCTTAGAGGCTCCCAACCGTCCAGACCCATCAGGCTTGGTGAGACAACACTGCCTGTGTGAGGTAGAGGAAACTGATACGCTGCAAGAAGGGACCCGATTTCGATGCTCCCAAGGGGGTGCCGGAAGATATGGTTTGGGGTCTGCTCAAGCAGGTATGTTTAAATAGTGAAAGGTTTGGAATGTGGAGTTCAGTAGTGACCCTGAGACAGATTACTGGAGAGTCAGGAGTTTATCTGAAGCATTTTTAGCTCAGACAGACAGAGAAGCAGCAAGGGGCAGGGGGAAGCTCTGAAGAGAAGTTCAGCATCTCCTGTGTATAGCAGTTCTCTGGTTAGACAGGACTGGTGAGAAGTGGAGCTGTTTATTCTTAGCATCTGTTTCTTGCTTTAATACATGCAATTTGAGCCTACGGGAGTTGGGCCTGAACAGTCACACACTACAATATTTCATGTTAATGTCCTCACACACATGTTGTGTGGCCAGGATAGGACACAGGCTGACCTGTAGATGACAGGAAACTACAATCACGCCAGCCAGGCTCACTGTGCGCTGGCCACTTGGCTCAGCACTTTCTGCACAAGAGGACCACGCAGAACAGAGACCAAGAACCACAGCTTTCAAAGTCTCAGTTTCCGCCTCTGTGTCGCCATTCTCAAGAGGCAAGCCTTCTCATTCTAGAAAAATGTCACACGATCGAGAGCCTGAAGGTTCAAAGAGGCCATGCGTGGAGAAAGTGCGGGGTGTTGGTTTTGATACGCAAGAATCCTAAACAGCAGCAAATATCCTTAACTGGTATGTCCAGCCCTGTGTCGCCTAGAAAGGTCCCCAGGACATCTGAATCTGTCCCAGGCAGGACCATGGTGCCTGTCCCACTCCTGTTTCCACCCAGTTTCTCCCTTTTCTTTTTTCTGTTCTCTCTTTTGTTGTTAGGGTTCCAGGAAAGGAACTCACAGCCCTGCGCATGCTACTGTTTCGTTCCTGCCAGCCCAGGCATTTCTCTTCTTAGTAAATGACTCTTTCACAAGCTGCTCGAGGCCAGAACTCCAGGTTTGAGACACAATGCACCCCAAACCTTATCAGAGCCACCATCAGAATCCGAGGGGATCTGGCGACTTCTTACCAACCCATCACTACCAATCACCCCACCTGTGGCCCCGGCCTCCATCCTCACCCATAGGTACACATGTGAAAGCAGGTGTCTGTGCACCTGAGTGCAGGCACGTAGCATGTAGAGGCAATGGTTTGCATTAAGTGGCTTCTTTGATAGCTCTCCACACACACACACACACACACACACACACACACACACACACACACACACATATATATATATATATATATATATATTTTTTTTTTTTTTTTTTTTTTTGAGACCGAACCTGATACTGACTCGTGTAGCAGGACAAGCTTCTGGAACTCACGGTCCCTGCCCCACCAACACTGGTGTTACAGACATGGGCTGCTGCCCCACCTCCTTTCTCCTGGGATCTGAACTCAGGTCTTCTTCCTGGAACAGCAGACACTTTACCAACAGAGCCATCCCCACGGTGCCCAGGTCCCCATGCTGCTATGGACCTTCCCTCTCTGGTCTCCCACGTCACTCTGAAAACACCATCTACACCTTCACCCAACCACACGGTTTCAGACACATGTTGAATTGTGTGATTGTGTTTGGATAAAGGAAACAGATTAGATGAGGTCATGAGGACTTGACTAATCTGATGGGGGTCAAGTCTTTAAAGAAAAGTGGGGAACCATTGTACCCCCCTGTAAAAGCTTCCTGAGAAAGTCAAAGACCAAATGGCTGCTGCATTAGTTGAGATAGGAAGGCCTTCCCACTGTGGGCAGCACCCTTCCCTAGGGAGGGGGATTCTCAACTGTATGAGAGTGAAGAAAATAAACTAATCACTGGTGTTAGTTTTCCCTCTGCTCTTGACTGTGAGCGCAACCAGCTGCTTCAAGTTCCTACGACCTGAAAGTCTCCTCAGTGATGGACTGTAACCTGCCTTGAAGTTCATCCTCGGTGACAGACTGTAACCTGGAACTGTAAGCTAAATAAACCCTTTCTCCCTTGACTTGCTTTTGTGAGGATAGTGTTTCAAAGCAATAGGAGAAGAAATCCAGGCTCTTGGAATTTTAGCTTTTACCAAATGTAGGGAGGAGTCCAAGGATATTAAATAGAGTTGAACCATCAAGATTTTCTTGCTTGGAATCCACACAAATTGTGCCAGCACTCTTCCATCTCTTTGGGCAGACATAAGTAATAGATAATTAGTAGATCATTCATAGAAGTGTCCTCCCACTGAATTTCCATGTCCTTCATAGTTTTTCATGAAGTCTCAGCGTTGAAACGAAGAAACTCACCATCCCTGAGAGAGCTCACTCCAGTCAATTTTGCACTGGCAGTCTGAGACTGAGAGGGAGGTTTGGTGTAGTTTGTTTGTCACAAATTACAGAGCATGTCACCAGGACCAGATACCCACCCAGCTTGTGTTCGGCTATGGTCAAACATGAAACTGGAGGGAACGCAGCCGTCATTTTCAATATTAAATCAGATCAGAGGTTATTAGTCTGTGACCTTTCATTACTTCTGACTATTTTGAGAGACTGTAATCTTTTAAGGCAAATCGATAAAATGGAGTATAGGAATTAAATGAATACCAGCTCCCAGCAAGGTATCAAATGAAACCAACTGTCATCAGGAGAACAAGAAGCAATCCCTGCCTTTTGGATCGAGGGATAATTATGAAAAACAGAAATGGTGTGAGTGGCCTGAGTGTCAGGAAGTGAGGAGGGAGGCAGCAAGGCTTCCAAGCCACTAACTAAGAAGGCTCCTCTCCAAGAGCTACCCCAACATTTATATCTACAAACAGAACCCCAGTAACCTCAGTTGAGGCAACTCCAGCTTTAGCCTCAATACTGTCAAAGCCAAATGTCTTCACACTGAAAGAGGAAAGGCGTGCGACCAGAGAGTCCTCCTGAGGAACTCTGGGTAGTTCACTCCTGTTGCAAAAGAAAAGGCACCAAAAAAGCCATTGTCCTCACATGCTCTCAGAAGCATCCAGACCGGCTCAGAAGCCTCCCTCCTCCTTCCCAGAGATGAAAGAAGGCTAGGGAAAGCCCCAGCATTCTCCAACTCTTATGTTGGAGTCCATTTTGACTCTTCCTGGCTGTGTGGGGACAGAGCCAGACCCCTACCCAGAGACCTCTACCTCCTCCAAAATGTATTCCTGGCATCTGAGCCCCAGCTCTAGCAAAGCATTGTTTTCTTTAATGTGAATGTGTCCTCTGGGCTGTTAAAAAAAAAAAAAAAACAAAACAAAACCTTAATCTTTCTCTTCTTCCAAGAATGTGGCAGTGTGTTATTATGGGAGAACAGATGTTAAAAATAGATATCTAGTTTAGGAGTTTAACTCAGGAAAGCTGGGAGGGGGAGAAGGGAGCAAGAGGGAGTGCTGGGAGCAGTCTCACTGTGAGGTTAGACTGCAAGGCTGGAGTGAGGGGCAGGAAAGGGGTGTGGGGTGGAACATCCAGGGGCTCTGTGCGCTCTCTGTGGGGTTGATAGGAGCATCCATGCTTCAGCTAAAGCTTACCAACAGTAAGGGCAGCTCCGTGTCTCTCGGGATGGCTAAACAGTGCAGCCGCCATGTCCACTCTGAGCAGGAAGGATGAGAAATGGAAGCTCTATGGGCATGTGCAGTGCTGTTAGCTAAGTCACCTCTTGCCTGAGGTGAGGTTCACTCAGTCTGCTTCTGAGATTCTTATCACCGTTCAAGGATGCACCATGCCATGACTTGTGCCAGCACAATTGTCACTCAAGACTCAGTTTTTCTCCCCTGGGATGCTTCTTCTTCTCCATGTGGTTAGGCTCAACAGCCCCTCCCTAGATGGGGCTCCTGTGACTATTTCGGCTCTCACCCTGTATTATTATTATAGGATTCTGTATTATTATTACAGTTCCAAATAGCCCAGCCTGCAGCGTATCTGCCTTGCAAACATGAAAGTTAAATCCCCAGAATCACATTTAAAAGGCCAGGAATGATGGTGTCTGGTTCCAGCATTGGGAAGACAGAGACAGATTGTCAGGGCACTCTGGCCAGCCTAGTTGGAAGAGCAAGCTCCAGGCTAATAAGAGACCGTGTCTCAGAGCAAACAACAGCTCCAGCTTGCACACTCAGTGCTTCTGCACACCCACCGGGTGTGTCAAATGCACCCTGGTGAGGTCCACCCTGCTCTGAAAGAAGGCTGGTGGAGAGGAGAGGCTATTTGGCTCCCTGCAGGGACCTGGAAGACAGCAGAAATATCAGATGCCTGAGGTGAGATGCTAGGGGTGGCGGACACTACGGGAATGGCTTGCACATGCTGTCCAGAGATTGGCGAGATGCTTAGCCTCAGTTGACTGTTACTACACCAGAAGTTTATTTGCCTTAATTTTTTTACAGCAGAAGCATATATCTGGTGTGTGTGTGAAGACATACAAGAGGGGTATATGTGCACAAGTGTGTGAGTGTGCATGGAGGCCAGAGGTCATCTCTGGGTGTCATTCCTCAGACACCATTCTCCGTCACAATTTTTTGTTTTGTTTTGTTTTGTTTTGTTGTTTTTCAAGGCAGGCTTTCTCTGTGTAGCCCTGGCTGTCTTGGAACTTGCTCTGTAGACCAGCCTGGCCTCGAACCCAGAGATCTGCCTGCCTCTGCCTCCCCAGTGCTGTTGCAGTAGGAAGCAAGGATTCTAAAGAGATTCTCGAATATCAGATCATTGACACAATGGTCCCCAAGAAATTGGAGTTTCCCCCAGGAGTGTCAGGCTGAGTGCAGGAAGAGGTTGAAGCTTGGTGCTGGCCAGACGGGGAACTTGTCTCCAGGGAGAGATTTCACTCAGTTCTGACAAGTGCCAGAGCATTTTGCAAGACCAGAGATGAGACAATGATGAGATATGGTGGGCGGACCCCTCCTCTTGTTCAGGATTTCATACGTCTTGCCTTCTATTAAATCCTCAACTTCTTGTCAGGACCCCAAAGGTAGACTTGGTAGGGGGTGGTCACTGTCCCTCTTCTAATGTGGCCACATTGAATTTTTTTTTCCTGCTTTTTTTTTTTTTTTTCCTTGTCTGCTCGGCCTTAGGCCTATTGAGGACAGGAGACTGAACCAGCTTGTAGAGGCCTCCAGGGCTCAGGCTCTGACTGGAACTCTGATAATGGGGCTTTTGGCTGGAAGGAGTTATCCAGACAAATGCCAGGCGAGGAAGAATTCCCCTAAAAAAAAATGATGGAAGCCGCTTCACTGATCATAAAAAGGCCTCATGTGGAAGATAGCTAAACATGAGGGGCTACTACAGATGACGGTGTGGGACCCTATCTGTTAGGAGAACTTAGAGGTGAAACCTGGGACCCTTGCCCGCCCTAGGCTCACCTCCATTGTGAGAAAGCCATTGAGGAAACGTAACAGGATCTAACAGGCCTGGTTCATCTGGGGCCTTGAGGCCGAGGCTCCCATTTCAAAGGTGCTGATTTCCTGAGCCCCAGTGTGGACAGGCTGCCCTGGCCTTATCTCCTGCTGTAGTAAACAAGGCAGCGACTGTTTCCCCTGTGGTTTTTCTGCATAGAATCCATCCCCAGCTAGCCCCCTAGGTGATGCCTCTGGGTAGCGCCCAGCCTTTCCTGTCTCTGCCTGGAGGATAATAATGCCGATTGCATTGTGCTCTCTGACTTGGGTCCAGGCTTTCTTTTCTGTCACAGATAGGGAAAGACTGGAAGGAAGACCTTCTAACAAATGCCTACCCTTCCTGGGCTTCAAGAGAAGTTGGAGGTGGGGAGAGATTTGTCGGGGGAGGGGGATGTGAGGGCAATAGTCCTGGCAGCCTCTGGAACCAGACCAAGAAGAGCAATGGGCCAGAGACTGACATTTGTCTAGTGACCTCTTATGGTATTGCTGAATCATGGGGCCTTTTGTAACACAGAACTGGGAGGGACCCATTCTCAGAAATCCTCCATTCGTCTCTGTCCAAGCACTGGGCATTCACTTTCCGCTGACATCTAACTGATGTCATCATTTCGCTTTGGTAAACAGGCCACCTCCAGGCCAAGGTGACCGTGACCTTCACCACATGCTGCCATGGGTGTCTGTGCAGCTCTTTCACGGGCTGAGGCTTCTCATTTCCCATTGCCACGACTCTAATTAGTGCTGACAGTAAGAAACGAGCCAGAACAGACAGCAGACAAACTGGACAGACAAAGGGAAGTGAAGAAGAAAGAAGGAAGGAAGCGGGTAGAGGGTGGACTCACTCAGAAGTGCTCAGAACGGAATGGCACAGCTGCCCAGGAAGCTATCAGAGGCAGCCCTGGCTATTAATATTCCTGGGCACCGGAGCCGCCAGCATATCTGAGGTACGCTGAGGATCTCCAGTGGGAAGCAACTCGAAGGCTCTGATTTGAAAATGCCATGAACTGCATGATTTGGGGGTAGGGAGGGGGGCTCATATCTGTGCCACAACTAGGTGGTTCTGTTACCAGATTTGTGAGGATCAGAACCCAGGTCCTAGCATGCTAGGTCCAGTCACCTGTCCTCAGTAGGCCAATTAAATAGGAAATATTTAAGCAGAGATTTATCCTGTGTTGGAAGAGAAACAAAAAGGCCCTCTGTCACCAAGTCTATCATTGGGGTCCTGACATGAGGTTGTGGATTAAATAGAGGGCAAGAGGGATGCATACTTAAGCAGTCCTGGTCTGCCAGTCACAGTCCATCATTGCCTCATCTCTGGTCTTACAAATTGGCCTGACAAATAGAACTGTGCGAGTTCTTTTTCTGGGAGCCAAATTCCCCCTTACACCACAATCCAACCTCTTCCTTCCTCTAGACTGGGTCTCCTGGGAAATTCTAATTTCTTGGGCACCACTGTTGCAGCGGTCTGGTAGACCAAGAGAGTGTCTCTTTAGAAAAATCACTAGTATTCTTTCCTGCCAGACTGGATACTCTGCCCTGCTCGTCTCTAACACTAGGCTGCCCTGTGATCTGGGGATGTTATTTCAGTGTAAATGTACAAGATAAAAAAATCTTCATCTCTTACCCCTTTCCTGAATGCGGCTTAAATGGTCACCAAACCCCAATGGCAGCATGCTCCTGGAGGGTGGTTTTTAAGTTGTGGCCTCATGTTCCTGCCACAGAGGGGGAAATGGAGAAAAAAATATATTAAAAGTCACCAAGTTCTTCCCATGCCTCAGAGTAGAGTTTAGGTGCCTATGAGGCATGCCCAGCTCCTCCTGGCCCCATAGCGTTATCAGCTTTTAGGGGGAAAGCCTGGGTCTGGCAACACCCAATGAGAGAGAGGGAGGATCAGCCACCACCAATATGCCAACTAAAGAGATGAGAAATGGCGAGAAGCAGAAAAAGTAGAGCGAGTAATGGGATGGCTAGCCTTGGAAGGTCCCCGGGTAGGCACCGGCAGGCTTGCGGGTCACTAGGCATAGCCCCACCCCTTCCAACCAGCAGCTTCTAAAGACAAAAGCCGAAACTTCAGGGCACTTGTCTGTTGGGCCCTGAGATCCTAATGTCCACTGCCTCTGCAGAGACAAGATCAGGAGACAGAGATAGGAAATTCTTCTATTCAAGGTGAGATAAGAGAACAAGGCCAGAGAGAGAGAGAGAGAGAGAGAGAGAGAGAGAGAGAGGTTCCAACAGAAGCAAGATTAACATATAAGAGGAACCAATGGCAGAGAGCTTGTCCCAATCTGTCGCAGAACTAAGCCTCCTGTTTCTAAAAGCAAGAGGAGAATAGTGTTCCCACACATGAAGAGCTCCTTCCCAAGCTGCCCTGCACTTCTGCTCTGGGGAGCGCCTTCTACTGTGGTAACAGACTCTCCTTATCGGTGTGTCCCCAGTTCAGGTCTTTGTTCTGAGACCCAAGAACCAGACGTCACTCAGAAGTGCCCTCTGGACTCCAGTATGTACTTAGAGCACAGGCTTGGGGCAAACGGGATGAAGATGTCTGCTTCTATTGGATCATGGGCCTGCCTCCATGGCACTGGTCACTCTTAGAGGCCAGCTTTATAGCCTGAGGAAATCAAGCCATGATTCCCACACCCCCTGCAGCTCTCTCTCTCTCTCTCTCTCTCTCTCTTTTTCTCTGTCTCTCTGTGTCTCTGTCTCTCTCTCTCCTGCTATCCTGTGGCTTTGAGGCCTCTGATTCACCCAGTATCTGGCTCCTCTGCGCTGCTTGTCACTCAGGTTGGTCCAGACTAAATCACATGCTGTGGAATGTCCTGCCACCTCATGAAAGGATAGGAGCCTGAGACTGTGGCCCAAGGTGGTGGTACTGCTCGGTACCTCAAATTCTCTTAACTTTCAAAATCTATGCCAGAGGTCCAAAGCTTCAACAGTATCTTGTGTGAAATTGTTTCCTTCTGAGGTCCCAGCAGATGTTCCTGATTCAGCAGCATTCCCTCCATGGCCTGTTCTTCGCCACCGTTGTTCATGCTTCACATAGACACACAGCCCTTGACTGGACAGCGTCTGAGTTCCTTATCCACCATGGACCATGCCATTCTATGTTCAATGCAGACACACACACACACACACACACACACACACACACAGATGAAGAAAACTGTCCAACTACTTCTAAGGAGACGTTCAAAGGTTAAAGCATAAGCCATGGCTCAAACATGGTCCCAGCAGCCCGTGTATCTGAGAGTTAAATCAAAGCTTAAGATAGCCTTGGCAAGATCCCACATCACCACACGGCAGAGGAGTGCACCACAGCATTGTGCCGTTGACTCGCTCAAAGCCACGTAGCAATTGGGGGCGTGGCATTAAGAGCTTCCTAAAGAAGGCTGTCTGTATGGTTTTACCTACGTGATTTTTTTCAGCTTGTGAAGGGTTGTGAGTGACAAAGAACTGAAGAAGTTCTCGTGGGACCTGAGGTCGCATGAAGCAAAGCAGACACGGTTTCCCTCTTCTCTGTATCATGTAGTTTTCTCCTAGCATTCTGGGGACTTCCCAGAATCCATTGCAGACACCCAAATTCCTTCTATAAATGACATCTGATCGTCAGAAGCGGCATGGAGAGACACCCTTTAAGGATGTCCCAGCAGGACTCCAGCAGCCTAAGGAGTCCCCTTAATCTTTTAGGACCTCTTCTACGTAGACAGGGTCCTTGACTTGACCACAGAAAAGAAATTTAGGACAAACCAGTATGGTGTAAAGTTGGAGTGAATTTGTTAATTTATTTTAAACTTATTTTTAAAAAACCTTGCAAATAAAAAAATTATGCTGTAGGATTAGTCATGCCAAAATCTATCCACTTCGATGACCATCTATAGAATAGCCATTCTAAAGCATCACACTGGGTTTTACACTTTCATTGTCCAGTATGTTTTTATGTCCTTATCCATCACACACACACACAAAACAATGAAAAATCAATGACCGAGTTAAAACTAGAAAAACAATTGGTTCATAGCTTCTTCCATAACTCGTGTGTTTTTTTTATCTGGAAGAACAAATCCTTACAGTGGGCGTCTGTTGGGTCTGGTGGCTTAAGTTACATAGATTAAAGGGTGGGATTTTTACAGTGTTTAAGGGTTAAAGAACAATGATGTAAGATGGATTTTTCAGGGTTAGTCCTTGGATTTAGGAATGAGAGAGGTATGCTGCACGTTCAAGGTAACAGGCCACTCTGACTCTAGTAAACACAGTCCACCTGTCATCTGAAACACTGTTGAGGTGTCTTCAGGAAAGCTCGCACCACCCCTGCAGGCAAGTAAGGCTTTATCATCGGAGTTCGGAGTTTCCTGACTCTGCTAACAGTGAAAACCATTTTTCTAAGGCATAGGGCTCTGCCCTCCCAGGTCCACATACTCTACCTTTTTGCCCTGCCTTGGTATCTGCATGCACAATTCTCCCTGTGCATTAACTCTTCTCTAGATTCCTGACAATTCTGAGGACATGGTAAATCCTGTGCAAACAGCCGACAGTCTGTGCAGTTTAGAGAATCGGTTTTTCCTGGGTAAGGTCACTCTGAAATTGGCTGACTCCATGGATACGGAACTCAAGTAATTGATGGTCACTCTGGAATTGCTTTATTTATTTTTTTAGTTGTGTGGGTGTGCTGCCACCATGTACACGAAGTGCTCGTGGAGGCCAGAAGAGGGCGTCGGATCCTCTGCAATTGGAGTCAGATGGTTGTGAGCACCGTGTGGGTGCTGAAACTGAACCTGAGAGCTCTGGAAATTCTCTTAACCACAGAGCCATCTTTGCAGCCCTCTGACATGCTTTAAATTCATCTGTGATGACATATAGACAACCTGGTGCCAGGCCCTTGGCCTGAAGTCCCTGGAACCAGGCATGGATGGTATGCTTGCCGCCTCACTCAACAGCTACACACCACAACCTGTCATAGACACCCTTGTGCCTTTCACCCCGAAAGTGGCCATTTCTCTGGGGTTTGCTCTAACTACACACCACGCTCTATTGTCACTGGCTGTCATTGCTGAGCTGTTGGTGCTCGAGGAAAGACCTTGACACCTCTGACACACAAAGGGGCGATTTTCCTGCCTGGCAAACTTTGCTTGGGTGTGCCGTCAGCCCCACACAACTGACTCTGTGTGAATGGAATGGGCAAAGTGCCGAGAACACAGAATATGCATGAATTCCCACACAGGAGCGCGCTTTCCAGGCTGCAACAGAGAACCTCAGGACAGGACAGACACCTCCATCCCCGTAAGTGGCTGCTCTAGTTGGTCTAGTGTCCCGAGTGCCTCTGGTGTAGCCACAGGGTCTTGGAAAAGGAAAGCCCCAGTTCATCTCGTGGACCATGTCTTCCGTATACAAGGAGGCGGGGCAATAGCTTTCTGCAAACAACCTCGCCTCCTGCAATTATCTCCCTCCCAAGAAACCCGTGTGACCTCCAAACCTGGCTCCAAACGAGCCAGGCCAGCCTCTCTGTCACTTCTAATGCTACCACAGACTGTTCAGACTTTCTTCACCAGGGCCTGCCCTTCCCCCTTCATCTCCTCAGTCGCCCGTCGACCACCCTGCACTGCCACACTGACTTTCCTGGCTAACTGTGCCTTCCAGCTTCCATGTCGTTCCTAAAGATCTCTGAACTGCAGGCCCCTGGTTTCTCGCCTAAAAGATCACCTCTTCGGAGAAGCCGTCTAGCCTTTTTCTTTCACCTCATTCGGTCTTGCTTTTTTTTTATCAGAGCACCTATAAGTTCTCAGGACCTTCTTATCTAGGAAGGAACATTCCCTCCCCTGTGGGAAGACTCGGGCCACTGGCCTACCTCATGCACTTACAAGACACCAAGCTCAGATCCCTCTCCAGCGGCCCCCGTCTAGAATTACAGCCAGGGCACCAGCCTGCTTCTGGAACAAGTGTCAGCCTTTTGTTCCCAGCAGCTCTAGTAATTAGATGCTAGGCCCAAACCCCGTGATTCAGTCAGCAGTATGAGAAGCCGGGGTCAGGAACATAGGGCCCTTCTTTCTTCTGAGAGATAGCAGCATTCCAAAGACTGGGGCTACAAAAGAGGGTTGATCTGCAGGCCTGAGAACTGACCTGCATGCTGGAAGTCCACCCCCCTCAGCGCCATGCCAACTGAGGCATTTAACAAACCAGGCAATCACCCAGCTTTGGAAAGGAGGTTCCATCTCGCTCTGGGATCGTCGTGTAGCTGGTGCTGGGATGAAACTGGATTTCCCTCTTCAGAACAAAGACCAGCACGCTCCTTTGGGAAGCCCATCCTGGGAGAAGCTGCATCTATCAGAAGCCCCACTTCCGTGCCAAGCATTCAAAGCCCGTGACCTGGCCTGCTCGCTTCAGCAGTTCCTGGCAGAGCACAGGGGCATTCTCCAGCTTTGAAATCTAATTGCCTACCATAGCCATGAAGCCCATTTTCGGCAGAAAAAGAAAATTGAAAGGAGGGGAAAACCACACACACACACACACACACACACACACACACACAAACCACACATGGACTGGGGGAGCAGTTCTCACGGAAGCTGCTAAGATGAGCCAGCTGAGCGTTTGATGGCCGGCCTTTGCGGGGAGGCCAGCTTTCTAAACCAGCTCCAGAAGCTGGCATTCAGAAAAGGAAGATCAACAAAGACAGCTCTGTCAGCAACAAGAAAATGGAAGTCACGGGCAAACCCAGAAAATGCTCTCCCCTGGAATCATCGTGATTTACGGGATAATTGTGCCAAGCTCTCACGTCCAGAAGCAGACATTGATGGCCATGCCAGGGTCAGGTGGACACTCACCCTTTTGTACTGTTCTCATTTCTAAGCAATGAGCTCGTCACAGTGCTGTTCTCCACCACCACCCGCCCGGGGAGGGGGGGAGAGAGGAGGGGGGACGCTTCCTCTCTGTCTCCCTCAGACAAATGCAGCCTCTCCAATGAGCCACCCTCATTTTCAGACAGAGCTCTTACCCTAAAACAGTCCACACTGGGAAAAACTTGTGTTTCTCTTGCTTTAAGAGATCAGTGTCTTAGAGAAAAGGGGATGAGCAGGCGGAAGCAGCAAAGCTGCCCCCAGTTTTCCACAGTGGTCACTCAACCTCATGGTAGACTTATTCCAGAGAACAAGGATCCCAGGTTTCACAGAGCAGGTGGGTCTTTGGGGGCCCTCAGAGGGACAGATAAGTTGTCTTGTGTCTGTTTTATTTGTAGGACCCACGAGGACTACTTAGTCCTCTGACAACCTGAGGAGTTCGCCAGGCAAAAGGTTCGACGGCGATTAACAAGTTATGGGACTCAGCCACTGCGGCAGAACAGAAATCAGCAGGCTTCCTTTGGGGGCTTGAAATGAAGAAAGAGATCTTAGAATCATATTAAATAAAAATGAGCCTGGGATTTTTTTTTTTTTTTAAAGGACAAGTCATTTCTCAAAAAGTCCGGAGGTGAGGGAAGTGCCAACAGCCACAGCCATCAAAAGGCGTAGAAGGGTGTGGTGTAAAGCCGCCATGGTGGGAATGAGGAGTCTGGCACCCTACATTCAGCTATTAGAATGTTGAGACAGTGGAACTCAAGAAATTAGAATTGGAGCCAGGCATGGTAGCACACACCTTTAATCCCAGCACTCAGGGAGGCAAAGGCAGGTAGATTGCTGTGAGTTCCAGGCCAGCCTTGTCTACAAAGCAAGTCCAGGACACCCAGGGCTACACAGAAAAACCCTGTCTCAGGAAAAAAAAAATAGAGTTGCCGTAGGTGCCTCAGGCTGGGAAAAGAAAAAGACTGAGGCCCTATATCAGGTATAAGGGGAGCTGGTCCCCCGAAAGGACAGGTTGTCAGACCTCTAGGCATAGGGGAGATGGAGCAGAGACAACAGCGGCTCGGTGACAGCAGGACCGCGCAGGACTGCTTAGTCAAGCACCTCTCTTGCTCTTTGTTTAAACTAAAGCTTCATGTCAAGACTCCAAAGATTGACTTGGAGGCCACTTAACCTCCCTGTCTCTCTTCCTAATGTAGCCACATTGAGAAAAACAAAACAAAACAAAACAGAAACCCTTTCTTTGTTTTTCATGGTTGCTTGCTTCCTGATAGCAGGTCACTGGTCTCAAAATGATGGCTCTCAGGGCCCAGACTGTCCCTTGCAGCTTCAGTAGCAGTACTAGCTAGTTGGCAGACATTAAGCAAGCATACATTAAGCAAGACTAGTGTGAGAGGGCCTCAGACCTGACATAGTGTACTTCTCGTCTAGGTTATGGCTAGTGCCTTCATCCCACCAGTGGGCCCAGCTACCTCCTAACATAAGGACCAGCTCTTCTAGTGGGTGGTACAGGTCAAGGGAAAACAGGGAAAAAGGAGAGGGAGGGAAGGGGAGATGGAGAGGACGTTGCTGTTTTACAGTTAGTGATTCATTTTTAAATGCTTGCTGTAGCCTACTGTGTGCCGGCCCATGCTGGGTGCCAGGAAGACAGCCATGCTTAAAGAGTGACTCCATTGAAACTCTTTCAGATGATGTTGACCACTAAAACCATTCAATGCAAGAATGGTTTTAGCCCCAGGTGCCAGCAGGGCTGCTGGGAATAGGGGTATTGCGTTAATGGGACTTGGAAATTTATGTGCTTGGACCTAGAAAGAGTTTGATGAGCCCTCTAACTCCTCATGCAAGCCCAATGGAGCAGGTGCTGCTATGACCTCACCCAGGCTCAGGGTGACAGGCCTTCCCAAGAGCTCCGAGCCCATGGCCCTGCTGCATACAGCAATGTTGCCCCACTGGAGAGATGGAGTCACGTTTCTTTCGTTGTTTCTTGCTGTTAACAAAACAGCAAGTCTAAGGCAACTTATGAAGGGTTTGCTTCAGGCCTGTGGTTCCAGAGGGTTAGAGTCCATGATGGCGAAGCAAGGGCGTGACAACAGGAACAACTAGGAGCTCACATCTCAAACTGCAAGCAGGAGGCAGAGCGCACACTGGGAATGACGTGAGTCGTTTCAAACCTCAAAGCCTGCTCCCATTGACATACTTCCTCCAGCAAGGCCACACCTCCTAATCCTTCCCAAACAGTTCCACCCACTGGCAATCAAGCATTCAAGCATATGAGCCTATGTTTTCACTCCATCCACCACAGTGGACAGAGGCCAGGCTGGCCACCAGTTCCTAACTACCCTGCTCTTTAGCATAGAAAGCAAAGCTGTCTGCTGGTAGAAAGACTTTGGGATCTGAAATCCTCTCCCCTTGCCCTCTGTGACACTTTTCAGGACCTTTTCTCCAGGACACCCTGTCACAGAGGAACCATCAGCTCCAGGCAAGAAACCCAAACATTGGCAGATCCCAGATCTGCCTACTCATTCCCTGCTTACCAGCTTCTTTCAATTTAGCTAGTGCCACCATATCTCAGCCCATCTTTTCTGCCAGCACGCGTCTTCTTCTCTTGGTTTACTGTCAGAGTCTCACGTTATCCCTGCACAAACTAGAGGGTAGTTTACCTCCATCTTCTCTAGTAGGGGAGCCAATGAGACCTTTTGTTGCAGAGAGCCCACCAGAGACGATATTCACAGTGTACAGCCAGCTGGGCTCACAGTCTCGGAGGCTTCAGCCCATGATCAGCTGGCCTCATTGTGTCAGGCCTATGGCAAGACAACACATCATTGTAGGTAGTATATGCTGGCGGGAAATTGTTCATCTCATGACCAGATATTAAGAAAGAGAGAACGGGGGGGGGGGGGAATGTCGGGGAACGTGGCCACATAATCCCTTTCAGACACACTCAGTGACCTGAAGAACTTCACTAGTTCTGACCTCTTGAAGATTCCCCCTACCTCCTGGAGACCAAACGTTTACCACGTAGACCTTTAAGATCATTATCTTCAGTCTGCCCTCCTGTAGGACCTGAGACTGGCAGCCTATTGATGTGCCCACCATTGTTGTGGTATTATTGACTTATGTACGTGTATCTTCCTCCCTGATCCCCGAAAACCCCTGGATCAGCATCTGAGAGAGGCAGGAAGTTATCAGAGAATTCTTCTGCTGAAGACCAATCCCGTGCTGCCAGAGGTGGAAGAATGCTCAAGAGGACTCTGGGAACCCAGGGAGGTCCTGATCCTCCTGCCTAGTGGAACTGAGTTCCTCCCTGAGCTGGCATTAAGGACGGGGGACAGCCAGCATTCTCCGTCTCTAGCCCCAGCCACCCAGGGCCAGCCTCTTTCTAGGCGGCAGCCCCTGGAGACGCCAGGCTCACGTCTTACTGGTGCTGCAAACCCCGTGACAAGCCTTTTCCTCGGAGCTCCAGAAGGAGCCCTTAAGGCTAATGCTGGACCGGCCTACTGTACCACGTGTGAAGGGCAGCCCACCCACACCGTGCGGAACGCGAATAGAGCAAGTTTCTGGAAGAAGGGGGCTTGAATGCCTCATGCACAGCTGCTGTCCACCGCACTCTGGGAGCACACTTCCATAGTTGCTGTCCTTGCCGGGCCTGCTCTGGGCCGAGCTCACTTCACCTTGGCAGCTCCCCGGGTTTGACATTGTGCTTTATACAGAAGCCTATTCAACTACAGTCAACCCTCGGCAGCAAAACAAAAACAAAAACAACAAAAACAAAAAATATTCCTAACGTAAGAACCCTAATCTTCAGATGCTCAAGTATCTTACATCAAATGCCACAGTATCTACATATAAACTATGTAGACCTTGTTATGCGCTTTAAACCATAATGTCAGTGCTCCGGAAATACCTGTGCGGTGTCATTTAGGGAGCAGTGAAGAGAAGGTCCACACATGCGCAGGTGTGATTACTTTTCACCGTTTTCCACCTGCAATTGGCAGAGTCCACGGATGTGGGACCAGCAGATGGGTGTGTTCTCAGAGGGTGTGCCTCTTCATTTTGATCTCTAAAGCAGACAAAGGCTCCCTTGAAGACAAAGCTGGGTTCCCTCCATTCGGCGCCATCCGCCCAGAGCGCCACACACCATTTGCTCTTTATCTGTTGACACTTTGTAGAATGTCCTGTAAAGAACTCGGCTGGCCCCAAGGACTCTCCATCCCTTAGCAGCTGTGCCTGGGGTCAAGGTGGTGTCTAGGCTTCAACTGAGTAGGGACCAAGAAGGTTGCTTAATAAAGAATTTGTTATTAAAATTCTTTATTATTTTTGGCTTTGCCCACCATGGCAGAAGGAAGGCCAGAGGCAAGGAATAAAGGCGCTAAGCTGGCGCCAGCCAGTTAATCCTGAACACCAAGATGGTTTTCAAAGGGAGAGCTTGTGAAGGAACACCCGGGATCTTCAGTCTCAACAGCTGCTGCAAGCATCTTGGAGAGAAGAGCTGAAGAGGGGGCAGCCAGCAGCAAAGGCCCTGGACACTCTGCCTTGTCTGTGTTTTGCTGTCACTACATGGCTAGCCTCTAGGGGTGACAGCCGCTGTCCTTTCTCCCTCAGGATCCTCCTGCCTGCTCCTGCTTACCAGCTTAGACCTGCAGCCGTTTGTGGGAATGGATTCTGGACAACATGGTTCTAATTCAGGGCAGTAAAAACCACTACAGCCAAGTGGTGGGCCACTCAGAGCCCTTGATTTCTCCTCTACAAAATGGAGGTATAAGGGTTTGGTCCAGAATCCAGCGTGGAATGGGCACTCAGCCACTGTTCACCAGCCTTCACCACAGTCTTCAATACCTGAGGAATTTTCAGCTCTTCCCACTTGGCATGGCAGTGTCTTTAAGAAGTTCCATCTTCGGTCCCCATGGCTATGGCCTCTGAGGGCAACCATGACTAAATTTAAGTCTGGGGTTTTAAACAACATGAAGTAATGCCCCCACGGGAATGGCTTCATGCCTGCAGTGCTTTGAGCTTTTGCAGAACCAAATTCCTTGGTGGGCAGGTCCATTTGGAGAGTCTTCCCTTCTCCCACCAAGGTCTGTTTCCGTGGTTACAAGGGGAGAAGCATGGGGCAGGTGGCATGAATCTTTGACCTTTCAGGCAGAGAACTAGTTACCATCAGTAGTCTGGGGAGCACTTTGCTTCCCCAGGGAGACTAGACAGTTCGACACTTGGTTTTCCCAGTAGAGAATCTAGACGCATTTCTGCCAGGAAGCAACACCCATCCTGTAGCTTCAGAATTATCTTTCTCTGAGGACTGTGGAGCCGTCTATCCCTTTAAGACCAGTGAGCCTCCTGGGAAATGGCAGGAGGGAGCAGCAAACAGGAAGGGGAGATTCTCTGCTGCCTGGAGGGATGGCGAGGAGGCAGCGCTGACGTCATGGCAATACTGAGCACTCCAAAATAGCTTCATCTAATTCGATGGGAAATGGGACAGCTTTCTCTGACTCTCTGAAGGCTGGGTAGGCCGGGGCCTGGTGGAAGAGACGTCTCTCTCCCTGGGGGACCTGAGTCTGGGAGACAAGACCAGCTTGAGGTTAACCCGGTAG